AAATTTCATCTTAAAAAAAATGATCTAAATAGTTATTAAAAGAACTTTTTATATATTGTAACATTATGAAAATTATATTAATATGTGATTTTGTATTACTTATATTTTTAGTTCATCTTGATGGTAACTTATTCGAACGGGAGAGTGACAAGGGTGGCTTTGTGTGCAAGTTGCATGAAAATATGGATATGCAGAAACCTATTGAAGATGAGAAAGAATATTCGGATACCGAGACAGAAAAAGAATATTCTTCGACAAGTTCCACTAGTCCGATTGTAATGGAAAAAATAGCGACGCGAGAACCATCACCAAGGGTTTCTATCGTAGAGGTGAGATGAAACCTTTCTATGTGTGTCATTAGTAAATATGTCAAATATGACAATCGCAAATATTTGCATATTAATACTACACTTTCATGTAAAGATATTACATTTTACATAGAGATGTGAAATGTATGTGTATTTGCAATGCTGTTAGTGTTTTAGTATTCTTTGATTGTGCACATATTATTTGCGCACAATCGGCATAAATCGGCTATATGATTACTTTGGTGGTGGTAGAATGTTATAAGAAAAAAACTTTTATATTGAAAAATATAATTTATGAGATCAATGATTATAATGAAATGATAATATGACGGGATCAATAATTAAATTTTGATAGAGGCTAGGAAAGAATGTAAGTAAGTAAACAAGTAAATGCATCTTTAATTTACCAAAGAAGCCACTCTTGTTTATTTTATTATGGAAATTTGCATTATTTTACACTAAATCGATACAAAAGTGTGAATCCAAATAGCTTGATATGTAAAAGATAATCAAGAGTACATAATCAAGATACTTTTTGTATGATCATCTTAACTGTATTATATATCAAAGTTTTATTTGTGAATTTATATCGCGGCTATTTTATATATAAGGAAAGCAACGATTCTTGTTGTAATGTTGTAAAATAATGAAAATTATGTTGTAATATTGAAAAGTAGCATATATGTTCCGAAAAAACAAAAAGAAACTGAAATCTTTTTTTTTTAATTATTTTTCATTACTCCCAAAATCCCAATTCCTTTAAATTGACAATAGTATACACCTGATAGAAAATAATATATTTAGTTTTATATTTCCGAATGAGAATATATTTTTATTAGACGAATGAATTTCTTATTAATATATATCGGTGTTTTAATTCATTCAGAATTTTTGTTATTCATTTAACTTCAAATGTGTGAGTGTGTGGTGAGTAGTTACATTTAATTGTACAAGAAATATTTCGAAAATTACGCAAATTTTTTCTTTATATTTAGTTATTATAAATATAAATTAAACACAATTTATATAACAATTACTAAATATGTATAAATTTTTTTAAATATACACTTTCATCATACTTTTTTATTTCAATTAATGTTTTTCAGATAGAAAAAGAAAGAAAAAAATGGCAGCCTCTTTTATTTTCCATGCTAAAACATAAATGCAACTCAAATTTAATGGTTTGAATAGTCCTGTGAATTACTATTTACGGATTAATGGTTTGAAACTTTTGAGTTGTATTTATTATGATCTCCTCTTTAATTTAGAAAACTAAAGAATTATTTAAAATTAAAATATCTCATCCGGGCATATTTATATTTATATTTATATTTATATATATATATATATATATACATATCTATATACGTGTGTGGGCGTGTGTGTATTTCATACATATTAATATACTTTCAATATGCATTTTTGAAGTACATATTGTTATTCACACAACTATTTTATAAAATAGTATTGTATTCTTCATAGAGATCGTCTTAAGCAACAATGTTGCCTCACAGGTTCATCTAAGCAGCGAAGAGAGTGAAGAATCTCAGAAGGAAGAGGAAGAAAACAATCTCGAGACTAATTTTACATCATGTGATAAAAATTCAAGGACAAAAGAAACAGTTCATAAATCACAGAAGAAAGTAAATCAAGCGAAGGAGTTAAGTAATCTTACATCTAGTCAACTGGAAGCTATAATTGGTGTTAGCCTCTTTCCATGAATGAATTTCTCTGTCGTACAGTGAAATTCTCCATTATATATATAGCAAATGTTTTTTGTGTTTTTAATTATATACATAACATTATTATATAAATTAAAT